CTCTGGCACCGAAGGGGGGGAAAAAAAAAAACGGAATTTTTTTATCCCTTTTTTTTTTCCCCTGAGGTTTTTATGCGGCTGGGAAAGGGAAAATCCCCCCCAAAAATGGGAAAATCCCAAAAAAATGGGAGCTCATCCCGAGTTTTTCTCCACGTGGGTGGGAAAGGGATGCCAAAAATGGGATTTTTCCAGGGTTTTTTCCCCATGGAAAAGCTGCTTGGAATGTTCAGCTGTTCCCAAATCCGGCCTTTTCCAGGGAAATGGGGCCCAAAAATTGGGATTTTCCCGGGTGGTTTTTCCCTGGGATGTTCAGCCTTTCCCAAATCCTGGCATTCCTCCCCCCCCCAAAAAAAATGCAGGGCCCCAAAAAATGGGGATTCTCCTGGGAAAAGAGGGATTTGGGATCATTCCCGTTTTCCCAGTTCCCATTCCCCCTTTTTGGGAAGCTTCTCCCCTTTCCCAAATCCCTCTGGAAAAACCCAAAAACTCCTGGGAAAAAACCCCCAAAAACTCCTGGAAAAACAACCCCAAAAACTCCTGGAAAAAAACCCCAACCCCCCCTTTTCCCACATTCCCGTTTCCATGGAAACCCCGAGGGAATTACTGGGATTTAAGCGGATTCCAGGGATATTAAAAAACCTGGGAGAGGCTCTCCAGGAATTCCCAGGGATTTGAATTCCCACTAATTGGAGCTGACGGGGATTTTATGAGCCTGGGGTTGCTTTATTCCCAAAAAAAAAAGGGCTGGAAAAGTGGGGGAAATCCCCTTTTTTTGGGAATTCTGGTGGGAACATCCCAAAACCCCAAAAATCCTGGGCTGCAAAGGGCAGGAATGTCCCAAAAACCCCAAATCCCAAGATCTTTTCCCCCAGATCCCAGGATTTTTCCCCCAAATCCCATTTTTCTCCCTCAAATTCCCTTTTTTTCCCCAAAAAAAATCGAAATTCTTCCCCCAAATCCCATTTTTTTCCCCAAATTTCAGGTTTTTTCCCCTGAAATCTCAAATTCCTCCCCCAATCCCATTTCCCACCCCCTCCATCCTGGGTTTTTTCCTGTGAAAAAACCTCATTTTTGAGGTTTTGGGATAGTTCCTCCAAAGCCCTGGATTTTTGCCCCCCAAACCCCAGGCTATTCCCCCCAAATCCTGGGATATTTTCCCCCACATCCCAGGATATTTCCCCCCAAATCCTGGGATATTTTCCCCCACATCCCAGGATATTTCCCCCCAAATCCTGGGATATTTTGCACCAAACCCCTGGATTTTTTCCGCCCCACATCCCAGGACATTTCCCCCCCAATCCCAGGATATTTCCCCATTCCGAGGGATTTTTCCCCCATTCCCCGTCTCCTTCCCGGAATTCCGAGGGATTTTTCCCCCATTCCCCGTCTCCTTCCCGGAATTCCGAGGGATTTTTCCTCCATTCCCCGTCTCCTTCCCGGAATTCCGAGGGATTTTTCCCCATTCCCCGTCTCCTTCCCCGAATTCCGAGGGATTTTCCCCCACTCCCGGTCTCCTTCCCGGAATTCCGAGGGATTTTTCTCCCCCCCCCCGTCTCCTTCCCGGAATTCCGAGGGATTTTTCCCCCACTCCCGGTCTCCTTCCCGGAATTCCGAGGGATTTTCCCCCCCATTCCCGGTCTCCTTCCTGGAATTCCGAGGGATTTTTCCCCCACTCCCGGTCTCCTTCCCGGAATTCCGAGGGATTTTCCCCCACTCCCGGTCTCCTTCCCGGAATTCCGAGGGATTTTCCCCCATTCCCGGTCTCCTTCCCGGAATTCCGAGGGATTTTCCCCCATTCCCGGTCTCCTTCCCGGAATTCCGAGGGATTTTCCCCCACTCCCGGTCTCCTTCCCGGAATTCCGAGGGATTTTCCCCCATTCCCGGTCTCCTTCCCGGATTTCCGAGGGATTTTCCCCCACTCCCGGTCTCCTTCCCGGAATTCTGAGGGATTTTCCCCCACTCCCGGTCTCCTTCCCGGAATTCCGAGGGATTTTTCCAGGTGCGGGAGACGCTGGCGGCCGAGACGGGGCTGACGGTCCGGGTGGTCCAGGTGTGGTTCCAGAACCAACGAGCCAAGGTGGGAATTCCCGGAATTCCCAGAATTCCGGGATAAGGAACGCCGCCAAATCCTCCAGAACCGGGGTTTTGCGGAATTGTGGGATTTTTTTTCCCGGAATTTTTCCGGGTGTTTTTTCCCCCCAGATGAAGAAGATCGCCCGCAGGCAGCAGCAGCAGGAGCAGCTCGGGAATTCCAGAGGGGGAATTCCAGGAGGGAGAGGATCCGGGAGGAGCGGCCGGGATGGGAACGAGGATGAGGAGGGTCAGGAATGAGTGGGATGGGATGGGAAAACGGGAATGGGAAAACGGGAATGGGAAATGGGAATGGGAAAATGGGAAAATGGGAATGGGAAAATGGGAATGGGAAAATGGGAAAATGGGAATGGGAAATGGGAATGGGAAAATGGGAATGGGAAAATGGGAAAATGGGAATGGGAAAATGGGAATGGGAAATGGGAATGGGAAAATGGGAATGGGAAAATGGGAATGGGAAAATGGGAATGGGAAAACGGGAATGGGCAGGGGAAATGGGAATGGGAAAATGGGAATGGGGAAGGGAAATGGGAATGGGAATACGGGAATGGGAAAATGGGAATGGGAAAGGGGAAAATGGGAATGGGAAAATGGGAATGGGAAAGGGGAAAATGGGAATGGGAAAATGGGAATGGGAAAGGGGAAAATGGGAATGGGAAAATGGGAATGGGAAAGGGGAAAATGGGAATGGGAAAATGGGAATGGGAAAGGGGAAAATGGGAATGGGAAAATGGGAATGGGAAAGGGGAAAATGGGAATGGGAAAATGGGAATGGGAAAGGGGAAAATGGGAATGGGAAAATGGGAATGGGAAAGGGGAAAATGGGAATGGGAAAATGGGAATGGGAAAGGGGAAAATGGGAATGGGAAAATGGGAATGGGGAGGGGAAATGGGAATGGGAAATGGGAAACAGGAATGGGGAAACGGGAATGGGAAAATGGGAATGGGAAAACGGGAACGGGAAAGGGGAATGGGAAAATGGGAATGGGAAAATGGGAATGGGGAGGGGAAACAGGAATGGGAAAATGGGAATGGGAAATGGGAATGGGGAAACGGGAATGGGGAGGGGAAATGGGAATGGGAAACGGGAATGGGGAAACGGGAATGGGGAGGATCTGGGATGGAGCGATCGGGAATGGGGAGTCACAGCACCCCCACCCCGCGCTCCCGACGTTCCCGGCGTTCCCGGCGTTCCCAGGCCTGCAGCGGATCCTGGTCCCGCTCTCCCGGGTTCCGCCGCCCCCAGAGCCCAACGGATTCGGGAGCGAGGCCGGAACGTTCCGGGGAGCGCCGCCCCCGGAGCCGCGGCCCTACGGTAACCGCGGGAATCCCGGGAATCCCGGGAATGGGAAACCGGAAACGAGGCCCCAGCCCGGTTTCCCCCCCTCCCCAACCCTTTTTCCCAATTTTTCCCAATTTTTCCCAGATTCTGAGGGAGTTTTCCAGGCGCTGGACGGGGACGCGCTGGCATCCTTGGCCCTGATTCCCGCGGAGAATTCCCAGCAGCTGATCCTCGGGAGCGGCGGAATTCCCGAAATCCCCGAGGCCAGGGACGCCCTGGAGCGCCTGTACCCCGGGAACCCCAGAATTCCCGAAATCCCCGAGCCCGGGAATCCCATGGAGCGCCTGTACTCCATGCAGAGCTCCTACTTCACCTCCTGACATCCCGGAATTCCCGAAAATCCCAGTCCTGGGAATCCCAAAAAAAAAAAAACGGGGTCGACCCCCTCCGAGATTCCGCCGGAATTTGGGATTTTCCCTCTGCTCCCGTGCCAAGTTTTGGGAATTTTTTGGTAATACTTTTTTTTTTTTGCATGTCTGGTGGGAAATAAATCCCGGGGGGGGAAAAAAAATTTAAAAAAAGAAAAGATTTAAAAGTTTTGGGAATTTGGGGAGGGATTGGAATTCCTGGGAATTTTGGGGTTCCCAGGGTTGAGAAGGCTCCTGGAATTCCCAGGGTTTTTTGTTGTTTTTTTTTCCCCATGGAAAACACTGACTCTGATCCCTGAATAATTCCATGGGACCACAAGATTCCCAAAAAAAACCCCAAAAACTGAGAAGGAAAAGCTGGAAAAGGTGGGGGGAAAAAAAGAGGAAAAGATGGGAAAGAAAAGAGGGAAAAAAGGAAAAAATTTGGAATGAAGAGAAGGACAAGCAGAATTTTTGGTCCCACCCCGAAGGTTCCCGGGGAGACCCCGCTGGAATTTTTATTTCTTCCTCCAATTTTTGGGATAAAAGCTCGGGAATCCGCAGGGAATTGCGGATCAGGCCCCACATCCCGGGGCTCCTTTTCCAGAGGGGCAATTCCCAGGATTTGGGAGGGGATTCCGGAAGGTTCCGAGGCTTTCCCGGCATTCCCGGGGGGGGTTTTAATTCCAGGCATTCTCTGGGGAGGGAGAAAAAAAAAAAAGGGGGGGGGGGGAAAAAAAAAATTCAGACGCGCACTCGGTGACGCTCAGGGACAGCTGGTGACAATCCCGGTGCCAGCTGCCGGGGCTCGCGGCCACGCAGCGCCCGTAGCGCTCCAGCTCCGGCCCGCAGAGCCGGGCGGTGACGGCCAGCGCCTCCCTGCGACAGCGACAGTGTCACCTCCCCGCCACAGCGTCGCCTCCCTGCCACAGGGATGTGGCATCACCGGCACAGCCGGGTTGGAACGACAGGGACACCGAGGGGACACGGCCCGGCCCCGCCGCCCCTCACTCACATGGCGCCTTCTCCTCCGCCGCCGCTTCACTTCCGCCACTCTCTCCCACTGCGCATGCGTCCCGCCATCACGGTCGGTACTTCCTCACTCTGCGCATGCGCTTCGACCTCACTTCCGCCACTCCCTCACTCTGCGCATGCTCGAAGCCCTGAGGCGGGAAACGAGGGCTCGGCGCAGGCGCAGAGGCGGAAGCGAAAGCGGAAGCGGCGCGCCGAGGGCGGAGGGAAGATGGCGGCGGCCGCGGCGGCCCCCGAGGACGAGCTGGTCTCGTCGGTGACGCTTTACCGGCGGCGGCCGCGGCTGCTCCGCGGCACCGTGCTGCCCTTCGCCGCCGGCCTCTACCCGGCCTGGCTGTGGCTGTGGGGGCCGCGGCTGTGGGCGGCGGGCGAGGCGGCGGGGCCGCCCGAGGCGGCGCTGTTGGCGCTCGGCGCCATCGCGGCGCTGCAGCTGCTCACGGCGCTGGCCGGGCTCTGGTCCGTGCACGCCGAGTGCGCCCTCAGCTGCGTCAGGGTGAGCTCGGGAAGGGCACCGGGGCGCTGATGGTCGGGGGGTTTGGGGGAGATTTGGGGTCTGAGGGGATTTGGGGGAGATTAGGGGCAGAAACGTGGGGTGTGAAAAGGGGAAGGGTGGGGTGTCAAAGGGGTAAAATTTGGGGTGCTGGGAGTGTAAAATGTGGGAGTTTAGACGGGTGAAATAAGTGTCAATCAAAGTGTGAGTGTGGGGTTTTGGGGAGATTTAAAAATGGGATTTTAAAGGGATTGAAAGTGGGATTTTAAAGGGATAAAGTTTGGAACAGTTGGGGTGTAAAGCTGGGATTTTAAAGGGATAAAAATGGGATTTCAAGGCTATAAAAAGGTGGAATTTCAAAGGGATAAAATTGGGGTTTCAAATTGATAAAAAGTGGAATTTTAAAGGGATAAAATTGGGGTTTCAAAGTGATAAAAAGTGGGATTTTTGAGGGATAAAATTGGGGTTTCAAATTGATAAAAAGTGGGATTTTTGAGGGATAAAATTGGGGTTTCAAAGTGATAAAAAGTGGAAATTTAAAGGGATAAAATTGGGATTTCAAATTGATAAAAAGTGGGATTTTTGAGGGATAAAACTGGGATTTCAAAGCCATACAAAGTGGGATTTTTGAGAGATAAAATTGGAGTTTCAAAGCCATAAAAAAAGGGATTTTTGAGGGGTTTTGAAGGGATTTCCCTGCTGGTTTTCCCCCCAGGAGCCCTGTCCCCAAAAAGCCACCCTGGCCAAGGTGGTGCCGACCCCCAACAACGGCTCCGTGGAATTGGTGCCAATCCACAGGGAGCAGGTGAGGGAATTCCAGGAATTCCAACGGGATTCATCCCTGGAAGGTCGGGGAATTCAGGGTGGTCCAGCTGTGGGCTGGAAATCCAGGAATTCCGACAGGATTTGTCCTGGAAAATCCAATGAATTCGTGATAATCCGCGAGGGAATGGGAAAATCCGGGAATTCCAGGGGGTTTATCCCTGAAAATGGGGGAAATCTGGGAATTCCAGGGGGTTTATCCCTGAAAATGGGGGAAATCCGGGAATTCCAGGGGGTTTATCCCTGAAAATGGGGGAAATCCGGGAATTCCAGGGGGTTTATCCCTGAAAATGGGGGAAATCTGGGAATTCCAGGAAAAACTTGGGGATTTTTCTGCAGGAGACTCGTGGAATTCCGGGATTTTCACCCTGTCTGGGCTGGAAATTTTTCCAGGAATGAGGAAATTTGGAATTTTTCCCCTTTTTTTTTTTTTTCCAGGGTGAGGACGGGCAGGAAGCGCTGAGCTTCGAATTCCAGAAGATCAAATATTCCTACGAAATCCATGGAAAAAAACAATTCCTGCCCGTGGCATTCCCTGTGGAGCATCCCTTGGGATTCTACCAGAATTCCAGAGGCTTCCAGGAGGAGCAGGAAATCCGGGAGGCCGAGAGGAAATACGGGAATAACAAGTGAGTTTTTCCTGGGGGAAAATCCTGGGAAAAGAGCCCAAAATATTCTGGGAAAAAATCTTTAAATATCCCCAAAAATATTCACAAATTTACTGGGAAAACGTTCCTAAAATAGCTCAGATATCCCAGGGAAATAACCCAAAGTATCTTGGGAAAATATTCCCAAATATTCCAGGTGAATGTCCCGAAATGTCGTGAAGTATTCCAGGAAAATATTCCAGGAAAATGTCCCCAGATATTCCAAAATATGCTGGAAAATATCCTGGAAAACCTGGGATTTTCCTCCTGGATTTGGGATTTTGGGCTGAGAAATTTTCCAGGAATGAATTCCAAAAATCCAATTTTTTGTTTAAAATCATCGGGAATGAGGAGGGTTTGGGATGTTTTGGGTGAGAAAACTGGGTTTTTCCAAGGATTTTCCAAGGATTTTCCAAGGATTTTCCAAGGATTTTCCAAGGATTTTCCTCCTTCCAGGGCAGAAATGGTGGTGCCAGAATTCCTGGAGCTGTTCAAGGAAAGAGCCACGGCTCCGTTCTTCGTTTTCCAGGTAAAAATCAGGAATAGAAACTGGGCAAAACCCACAAATTTGGGGAAAACCTGGGAAAAATCCCCAAATCTGCTAAAAATGGGAAGAAACCCAGGGAAAACTCCCGTTCCTGTAAAAACCGGGGGGATTCTGGGATGTGTTGGGCCAATTTTGGTCTCTTTTTCTTTGGAATAATTTTGGTCCCTTTTCCCCTGGAATTCCAGGAATTCTGGGCAGGAATTCCAGCAATCCTGGGCTAGACTGGGACACTCCCAGTCCCACAGGGATTTTTCTTTTTGCCCTGGAATTGCAGGAATTCTGGGCAGGAATTCCAGCAATCCTGGGCTAGACTGGGACACTCCCAGTCCCACAGGGATTTTTCTTTTTGCCCTGGAATTGCAGGAATTCTGGGCTAGAATTCTGGGCAGGAATTCTGGCAATTCTGGGCTGGAATTCCAGGAATTCTGGGTAGGAATTGCAGGAATTCTGGGCTGGACTGGGACAGTCTCAGTCCCACAAGGATTTTCCCTTTTCTCCTGGAATTCTGGGCTGGAATTCCAGCAATCCTGGGCTGGAGTGGGACACTCCCAGTCCCACGAGGATTTTCCCTTTCCCCCTGGAATTCCAGCAATTCTGGGCTGGACTGGGGCAGTCCCAGTCCCAGGAGGATTTTCCCTTTTCCCCTGGAATTCCAGCAATTCTGTGCAGGAATTGCTGGAATTCTGGGCTGGACTGGGACACTCCCAGTCCCACGAGGATTTTCCCTTTTCCCCTGGAATTCCAGCAATTCTGGGCAGGAATTCTGGGCTGGAATTGCAGCAATCCTGGGCTGGACTGGGACACTCCCAGTCCCACGAGGATTTTCCCTTTTCCCCTGGAATTCTGGGCAGGAATTCCAGGAATCCTGGGCTGGACTGGGGCACTCCCAGTCCCAGGAGGATTTTCCCTTTTCCCCTGGAATTCCAGGAACTCTGGCCTCGACTGGGGCACTCCCAGTCCCACGAGGATTTTCCCTTTTCCCCTGGAATTCCAGGAACTCTGGCCTCGACTGGGGCACTCGCAGTCCCACGAGGACTTCCCCTTTTGCCGGGGTCTCCCCGGCCTCCCCTGGAGCCGTTCCCGCCGTGTTTCCCAGGTGTTCTGCGTGGGGCTCTGGTGCCTGGACGAGTTCTGGTACTACAGCGTCTTCACCCTGTCCATGCTCGTGGCCTTCGAGGCCTCGCTGGTGCAGCAGCAGCTCCGCAACCTCTCGGAGATCCACAGGATGGGCAACAGGCCCTACATGATCCAGGTGAAAACCCGGAATTCCGGGGGCTCCTGGCGCCTTCCTGGGGCTGTGGCTGCTGAGTTCCGCCCCAAAATGGGGCTTTTAGGAGGTTTGGCCTCTTTGTTTTCCTTTTTCCTGGGTTTTTGTGTCCCAGGAAATGGGATTTTTGTGGATTTATGGGATTTTTGGGACGTTTAGCCCAGGGATTTTCCTGTTTCCCATGGTTCTATCCCAGGAAATGGGATTTTTGTGGATTTATGGGATTTTTGGGACGTTTAGCCCAGTTATTTTCCTGTTTCCCATGGTTTTTGCCATGGATTCTATCCCAGAAATGGGATTTTTATGGATTTATGGGATTTTTTGGACATTTAGCCCAGTTATTTTCCTGTTTCCCGTGGGTTTTGCCATGGATTCTATCCCAGGAAATGGGATTTTTGTGGATTTATGGGGTTTTTTTGGACATTTAGCCCAGTTACTTTCCTGTTTCCCATGGTTTTCCCATGCATTCTATCCCAGGAAATGGGATTTTTATGCATTTATGGGATTTTTGGGATGTTTAGCCCAGTGATTTTCCTGTTTCCCATGGTTTCCCAGTTATTTTCCTGTTTCCCATGGTTTTTGCCATGGATTCTATCCCAGAAATGGGATTTTTGTGCATTTATGGGATTTTTGGGACGTTTAGCCCAGTTATTTTCCTGTTTCCCATGGTTTTTGCCATGGATTCTATCCCAGAAATGGGATTTTTGTGCATTTATGGGATTTTTGGGACGTTTAGCCCAGTGATTTTCCTGTTTCCCGTGTTTTTTCCCATGGATTCTATCCCAGGAAATGGGATTTTTATGCATTTATGGGATTTTTGGGGACTTTCAGGGGCATTTAGCCCAGATATTTTTCTGTTTTTCCACAGATTTTGTCACAAAATTGAGATTTTTTTTGAGTTTTTTGATGCCTGTTCCTGTTGTTTTCCTGCTGATATCGGCCAAAAATGGGAATTTTGGGGGGAGGGGGATGTCTTAGGATATTTTGGGTTTTTTTTTTTCTCCATTTTGTGTCCATTTTCCTGTGGATTTCCCATCAGTTCCATCCCAAAAACGGGGAAATTTTTTTGGGAATTCCAGGTCTACAGGAACCGGAAGTGGCGCCCGATTTCCAGCGACGAGATCATCGCGGGGGACATCGTCTCCATCGGTAAAAAATGGGAATTCCCGTGGGAAAACACCCCAAAAATGGGAATTCCCAGTGGGAATTGCCATGGGAAACGTATTTAAAATGGAAATTTCCACAGAAAACAGCCTGGAAAATGGGATTTTTTTAATGGGAAACGCCCTTCAAATGGGGATTTTCATGGAAAAGTCCCTTGAAAATTGGAATTTCTTCCCTGTTTTTTTGCTGGAACGAGCTGGAATTTTGAGGATTTCGATTCCCATTTTCGGAGAAATCCCCTTGGAATTTTCCTGGGATTTGCAGGAATTCTGGGTTGGACTCTTGAGGTTTCAGTTCTGGGGTTTTCCCCTTTTTTCCTGGAATTTTTTGCTTTTCCAGCATCCTGCCATCAAATATTTCAACGCCCTGAATTCCCAGAATTCCCGGAATTCCAGGGGCTGTTTTTTCCCCAGGTTTTCCCTTTTCCAAACCCTTTCCCTACAGATCCAGGGCTGGAAAAGCGGGTGGGAAAACGGGAAAACCGTGGGTTTCGGGGTGGGAAAAACGGGAAAATCGATGAGTTTGGCTTGGGAATTCCGGGAATTCCGGGAATTTCTGCCCTCAGGCCGCTCCCCCCAGGAGAATTTGGTGCCCTGTGACCTCCTCCTGCTGCGGGGCCGCTGCGTGGTGGACGAGGCCATGCTGACGGGAGAGTCCGTGCCGCAGATGAAGGTGGGGAAAAACGGGGAAAAGCGGCGGGAAAGCGGCAACTGGGGCGTGTTCCCGGCCGGAATTCCCTGGATCCCTGCCCTGTTCCCGGCCGGAATTCCCTGGATCCATGTCCCCGTTCCCATCCAGAATTCCCTGGATCCCTGCCCTGTTCCCGGCCGGAATTCCCTGGATCCCTGCCCTGTTCCCGGCCGGAATTCCCTGGATCCACCCGGGATTCCCGCCCGGAATTCACACCCGGGATTCCTGCCCGGAATTCACACCCGGGATTCCCGCCCGGAATTCACACCTGCAATTCCCGCCCCGCCGCTCCCGCCCGCAATTCACACCCGCGATTCCTGCCCGGAATTCACACCCGGGATTCACACAGGGACTGCCCCCCTGGAATTCACACCCGCAATTCCCACCCCGCAATTCCCACTCTGCCACTCCCGCCCGGAATTCACACCTGCAATTCTCACCCCGCGACTCCCACCCGGAATTCACACCCAGAATCCCTACCCCGCGACTCCCGCCCGGAATTCACACCCTGGAATTCACACCCTGGGACTCCCACCCCAGAATTCCCACCTGGAATTCACACCTTGGGACTCCCACCCTGGAATTCTACACCCCGGAATTCCCACCCAGAATTCCCACCCCGGAGTTCCCACCCCGCAACTCACACCTGCAATTCACACTCTGGAATTCACACCCCACGATTCCCATCCTAGAATTCCCACCCGGAATTCACACCCCGGAATTCACACCCGGGAATTCTCACCTGCAGTTCCCACCCTGGAATTCACACCCAGAATTCCCACCTGCAATTCCCCCCCTGGCACTCCCACCCCGTGATTCCCACCCTGCAGTTCCCACCCTGGAAATGTCCCACAGGGACCATCCTCCTCAGGGAGCAGTTCCCAGATTCTTGCCCAAAGCTGGGGATCCCCAGCCTGAAATTCCCAGGAATTCCCTCAGGATTTCCTGGGGGATTTCTTTGGGAACTTCCTGAGTGGATGTCCTGGGGGATTCCTTGGGATTTCCTGGGAATTCCCTGGGATTTTTTCCCTCCCCAGCTGTGGATAACGGGTGCCTGGCCTACGCCCTCCGCACTGGCTTCAACACATCCCAGGTGAGCTGGGAATTCCTGGGAATTCCAGCAAATGGGGCTCGGGAAGAGGGAGGAATTAAGGGTTGGGAAAAAGGAGAAGGTCAGGAATGGGAAGAATTCCCAAGTTCCGAAGGAATTCCAGGCTTTTCCCTGAGTTGGAATTCTCATTCCATGCTCCTTTGGAAGGAATCCCATGGAATTTTGAAGGAATTTCCGTGGGATTCCTGACCAAAGCTGGTTTTCCAGGGGAAGCTGCTCCGGACGATCCTGTTTGGGGTGAAGAGGGTCACGGCCAATAACCTGGAGACCTTCATCTTCATCCTCTTCCTCCTCATCTTCGCCATCGCCGCCGCCGCCTACGTCTGGATCCAGGGTGGGAATTCCGGGAATTCTGGGGTTTGGGGGAGGGATCCCCGAGGGATATTCCCTGATCCTGACCCCATTTTTATCCTGTTTTTTCCCCCTAATCCCATCGTGATCCCATTTTTTCCCATTTTGATCCCGTTTTTTCCCGTTTTAACCCTGTTTATCCCATTGTGATCCCGTTTTCCCGTGATTCCCAAGGCACCAAGGACCCCCGGCGGAACCAGTACCGGCTGTTCCTGGAGTGTGCCCTGATCCTGACGTCCGTGGTGCCCCCCGAGCTGCCCATCGAGCTCTCCCTGGCCGTCAACACCTCCCTGATCGCCCTGGCCAAGCTCTGTGAGCGTTCCCAGGGAACTTTGGGAATGCTGGGGATGGTCGGGTTGGAGTGCCATGGGAATTTCTGAGGATTTTTTTTTTTTAATTTTCCCTCAGAATCCCTGATTTTTCCCTCAGAATCCCCAATTTCCCCTCAGAAGTCCTGATTTTCTCTCAGAATCCCAAATTTCCCTTCAGAAGTCCTGATTTTCCCATCAGAATCCCCGATTTCCCCTCAGAATCACCATTTTCCCCCTCAGAATTCCCAGTTTTCCCTCAGAATTCCCAGTTTTCCCCTGAGAATTCCCAATTTCCCCTCAGAATCCCTGATTTTCCCTCAGATTCCCCGATTTTCCCCTCAGAATCCCCCATTTCCCCTCGGAATCCCTGATTTTCCCCTCATAATCCCCAGTTTCCCCTCAGAATCCCTGATTTCCCCTCAGATTCCCCGAGTTTCCCCTCAGAATCCCCCATTTCCCCTCGGAATCCCTGATTTTCCCCTCATAATCCCCAGTTTCCCCTCAGAATCCCTGATTTCCCCTCAGATTCCCCGAGTTTCCCCTCAGAATCCCCCATTTCCCCTCAGAATCCCTGATTTCCCCTCAGAATCCCCGATTTCCCCTCAGAATCCCCAATTTTCCCCTCAGAATTCCCAATTTTCCCCTCAGAATCCCCATTTCCCCTCAGAATCCCTGATTTCCCCTCAGATTCCCCGATTTTCCCCTCAGAATCCCCCATTTCCCCTCAGAATCCCTGATTTTCCCCTCATAATCCCCAGTTTCCCCTCAGAATCCCTGATTTCCCCTCAGATTCCCCGATTTTCCCCTCAGAATCCCCCATTTCCCCTCAGAATCTCCAATTTCCCCTCAGCATTCCCGATTTTCCCCCAGATCCCGCAGTTTTCCCCTCAGCATTCCCGTTTTTTCCCGCTCTCCCAGACGTTTACTGCACGGAGCCGTTCCGGATCCCGTTTGCGGGGAAGGTCCAGGTTTGCTGCTTTGACAAAACCGGGACCTTGACCAGCGACCACCTCGTGGTGCGAGGGGTGGCCGGGCTCAGGTGGGTCCTGATCCCGAAATTCCCGCTGGGAATCTCGGGGGGTTCAAGGGAGGGGTGGGGAATGGGCTGGGAATACAGAATTCCCAAAAAAAAAACCTCAAAAATCCCACGAGGTCTTCACGGAATCCTCACAAAATTCCTGGAAAGAAATGAAAAAAGGAATTCCACCAAAATCCGTCTAAAGGAGCCTCCCAAAAAAATCCCACAAAACCCCCCCAAAAATCCCACAAAATCCCCCCAAAATATCCCCCCAAAAAACCCACAAAATTGCCACAAAAGCCCCACAAGAAATCCCACAGAATCCAGCAAAGTCCTGGGATTTTCTTGTGGGATTTTTGGTAAAGATTTTTTGGGATTTCACGACGACTTTTGGTGGTGTTTTTTGTGGGAACTTTGTGAGGATTGTGTGAGGTTTTTGCGTGATTTTTTTTGTCACCTTTTTGGGCTATTTTGGGAGGATTTTGTGAGAAGATTTTGGGGGATTTGCGAGACATTTTTTGTGGGATTTTTTGGTGAGGATTTTTTGGGATTTTTTGTGAGATTTTGCGTTGGGATCTTGTGAAATTCTGTGCGTATTTTCAGGAGGAATTTTTTTTGCTTTTTGTGGGGGTTTTTTTTGCTGCTTTTCTACAGGATTTTCATGAGAGTTCACAGCATATTTTGTGGAGTTTTTTGCAGAATTTTAAGAGTTTCACCCGCTTTTTCCCTTTCTTTTCCTCCTAACTCAATTTCCCTCCGACCCCCTCCGCAAAAACCCTTGGGGACGATCCCAAAATCCCAAATTTTCCCTCAGGGAAGGCAAGGAGGTGCTGCCGGTGTCGGAAATCCCTCTGGAAACTCACCGTGCCATCGCCTGCTGCCACTCCCTGGTGCAGCTGGAGGATGGGAGCATCGTGGGCGACCCTCTGGAAAAAGCCATGCTGACAGCCGTGGACTGGACCCTGACCCGAGGTAAATCCCAAACCCCCACTTCTCCCTGGAATTCTGAGGCGTTTCGGGTGGGAAAACCTGGAAAAAACTCGGGGGGGGAAAACGGCGGCGGCTTGCCGCAAAAAATTGCCCCCAAAATCATCTGAGAAAAATCTCGAAAATTCCGCAAAATCCCCCCCCAAAGAAAACTCCACTGAATCCTGCAAAGAATCCTACAAAATTCCCATAAAAATCTCTCAAAATTCCCACAAAAAAACCCCACAAAAATCTCTCAAAATTCCCACGCAAAAAACCCACAAAAATCTCTCAAAATTCCCACAAAAAAACCCCACAAAAATCTCAAAATTCCCACAAAAAAAACCCCACAAAAATCTCTCAAAATTCCCATGAAAAAACCCCACAAAAATCTCAAAATTCCCACGAAAAAACCCCACAAAAATCTCTCAAAATTCCCACAAAAAAACCCCACAAAATCCTCACAAAATCCCCCCAAGGATCCCATAAATCCCTTCTGCAAAGATCTCTCAAAATCCCCACAAATAAAACCACTAAATCCCCCTGAATTCCACCTGAATTTCCCAGAATTCCATCAGATTCCCTCAATCCCCTGGAACTGTCCACAATTCCCACCAAATTCCTCAGAATTCCTCCTGGATCCCCCTCAAACCACCCCAAATTCCCTCTTTCCCCCCCCCCATTCCCGATTCCCCCTTTTCCCTCCCAGCACCCCCTTTCAGGATTTCCTGATTTCCTTTGTTTCCAGATGAGAAAGTTTTCCCGAGGAGTCTAAAAACTCCGGGAATGAGAATTCACCAGCGCTTTCATTTCTCCAGTGCCCTGAAGAGGATGGCGGTGCTGGCTTCCCTGGAAAACGCCTCCGGAGAAATCCGATACCTGGCGGCCGTCAAGGGCGCTCCCGAGACCCTGCACGCCATGGTGAGGGGGAAAAATGGGGGGAAAAACGGGAAAAAAGGGAATCTGGGAATGCCAGGAGACCAAAATGGCCGCCCCGCGCTGAGGGGAAAACGGCCCAGAGCCCGCCGGAGGGGGGAATTCCAGGGAAAAACAGGGATTTGGGAATGCCAGGAGCGCAAAATGGCTGCCCAGGCCCTGTGGGGAGGGGGAGATTCCAGGGAAAAGCGGGAATCTGGGAATGTAGGGAAGTAGGGGAGATGAAAGGGGGTGGGGACTGTAAGTTCCAGTGGAATTATCCTGAATTCCCTCAAATTCCACACGGATTCTTCCAGATCCCTGCCTCCCTTTCCCCTCAAATCTCCTCATTTTTCCCAATATCCCACCAAACGCCCCCCCCGAGATTCCCTCAGATTCCTCACTCATGGAATGTTTTCCTGTTTTTTTTCCCCCAGCTGTCCCAATGTCCCAGCAACTACCACGAGATCCATCGGGAATTCTCCCACGAGGGCGCACGGGTCCTGGCCCTGGGCTACAAAGAGCTGGGAGCCCTGAGCCACCAGCAGGTGAAAAACTGGGAAAAACCCCGGAATTCCAGGCCTGGAAAGTGCTGGGAGAGGGGCTGGGAAAAGGAGAGGTGTTTTTTTGGGGTGGAATTTGGGGTTTTTGGGGAGTTTTTGCAGGGAAATTCCCGTTTCCAGCTGTCCCTGCTGAGACCCTTCAGGGCATTCCCAAGGAAAACTCCTTTTCTTTTGGGAATTTAGGATCACCCCAAGCTTTTAGGAGCACTGAGCTCATTCCAGGGATGCTCCAAATCCCAGGAATCACCGGTGGGAGGAGGGATTTGGCTTTTGAAGGGATTTGGGAATGCTGAATCCGGGATTTTTTGCCGTGGAAAAGGTGCGGGAGATGAAGAGGGAATCCCTGGAATGTGACCTGAGATTTGTGGGATTCATCCTGGTCTCCTCCCCCCTCAAAGCCGACTCCAAGGCCGTGATCCGGGAGATCCAGAGCGCTTCCCACCACGTGAGGAATCCTGGGAATTCCCGGGTTTTGGGAGGGTGGGAAAGGGGTGAAAATGGGGGAATTGCCAGAGGGGTGGGAGGGGCTGGAGGGAGGGGAAAACTGAGAATTCCCAGGGTGAAAAGCGGGAAAATTCCAAGTGGAAAACAGGAAAAATTCCAGCCTGCCAACTGGGAAGTATTCGTCTAAGAACCGGGAAAACTCCAAGTGGGAAACGGGGAAAATCCAAGGCTGAGAACTGGGAAAACTCCGGATTGAAAAAGGGGAAATTCCAAGAGGAGAACGGGGAAAATCCCAAGTGGGGGAAGCGGGAAAAGCGCCGGATTTGGGAACGCTGCGGGCTGAGCCCCTCCGGAGGGGGTTCCCAGCCCTGAACTGGGCCGGGATTTTCCCGGAGCTGCGGGAATTGCAGGTGGTGATGATCACGGGGGACAGCCCGCTGACCGCCTGCCACGTGGCGCGGGAGCTGCACTTCCTGCAGAAGGACAGGATCCTGATCCTGCAGCCGCCGGAGCGCCCCGGTACCGGGAGTGACAGCGGGAACCACGGGGGCGCTGGGAGCGACTCCGGGAACGGTGGGAGCGGGAATGGGAACGGGAATGGTGGGAATGCGAATGGTGGGAATGGGAACGGTGGGAACGGAAACGGTGGGAATGGGAACGGTGGGAATGGGAGTGGGAACGGGAATGGGAATGGTGGGAATGGGAATGGTAGGAATGGGAATGGGAACGGTGGGGACGGGAACGGTGGGAATGGGAATGGGAATGGTGGGGACGGGAATGGTGGGGACGGGAATGGGGGGAATGGGAACGGGAATGGTGGGAATGAGAGTGGGATTGGAGGGAATGGGAACGGGAACGGGAATGGGAACAGTGGGAATGGGAACGGGAATGGTGGGAATGGGAACGGGAACGGAATGGGAATGGGAACAGTGGGAATGGGAATGGTGGGAATGGGAACGGTGGGAATGGGAATGGGAACGGTGGGAATGGGAACAGGAATGGTGGGAATGGGAACGGTGGGAATGGGAACGGTGGGAATGGGAATGGTGGGAATGGGAACAGTGGGAATGGGAACAGGAATGGAAACGGGAATGGGAACGGTGGGAGTAGGAATGGGAATGGTGGAAATGGGAACGGTGGGAATGGGAACGGTGGGAAGGCCGGGGGGTTCTGGGATTCCAGAATTTTATGGGATTGGGAGTGGGATCAGGAATGGGAATGGGATCAGGTAGGAATGGGATCAGGAATGGGAGTGGGAATGAGATCTGGAATGGGAGTAGGATCAGGAATGGGATCAGGAATAGCAGTGGGAACTGCCAGGGGGTTCCGGGATTAGAGGGGTCTGGGGAGCTGGGAATGGAGGTGGGCATTAGGGTTGGAATCCCCTCTGGAATCCCCCCTGGAACCCCCCCTGGATCAGTCCCCCTCCCCCAGGGCTGCCCTGGCAGTGGCGCTCCCGGGACGGGTCCGTGGCCCTCCCGGCGTTCCCGGATTCCCTGCGGGATCTGACGGATCCCTTCGAGCTGTGCCTGACCGGGGAGGGGCTGGAGCAGCTCCGGCTGCGGGATCGGGATCGGCTGCTCCGCCTCATCCCCCACGTCCGCGTCTTCGCCAGGGTGGCGCCCAAGCAGAAGGTGAGGGGGGCTGGCAAGGGGAATTCCCGGGATTTGGGATCTTCGGGAATGCGGGGATGGCCCTAGGGTGGTCCCCAAGGGTTTGGAGCTCGTTCCGGCTCTGAGTTCCTGGGATTTTGTGGGTTTGGGAATGGGGCATGGCCCCGGTTTGATCCTGAAGAATCCTGAGCCTCTTCCAGCCCTGAATTCCCAGAATTCGGAGCCTTCCCACCAATCCCACTCCGTCCCCATCCTCCCACCCCGCTCCGAGCTGGGAATTCCGGGATTTTGGGAGCTTTTCCCGGTGTTTTTCCGGGCAGGAATTCGTGATCACGGCGCTGAAGAGCCTCGGCTACTGCACCCTGATGTGCGGGGACGGCACCAACGACGTGGGAGCGCTCAAACACGCCGACGTGGGTGAGCACGTTCCCAAAATTCCCTGGATTTGCCCCAGATCCCAACCCCAGCCGTGCCACTCCCAGCATTTCCCAGCTTTTGGAGCTGGTTCTTTGGGGCCCTGAAAGGAAATAGAGGGAATTTTCCTTGTTTTTCTCTGTGCTTTTCCCTTGTTTTTTCTCTGGTTTTTCCCTATTTTTTCCCCTGATTTTTCCCTAATCTATCCCAATTTTTTTCCCTGATTTCCCACCTCTTTTCCCCCAAATTTTCCCTGATTTTCCCCCTGAATTTTCCCTCTTTTCCCCCCCGATTTTCCCCTGACTTTCCCCCTCCCCAGGCGTGGCCCTGCTGGCCAACGCTCCGGAGCGCGTTCCCGAGCGGAAGCGACGGCCCCGGGACGGCTTCGGGGACAGCAGGCCCGGAATTCCGGCCGGGAATGTCAAACCCTCGTCCCGAGGAGCCAAGCAGCGCCTCCTGGCCCAGCGGGAGGAGCAGCTGGCCGTCCACAGGGTGGGAATTCCCATTTATCCCGGGATTTTCAGCCCTGGCGTTGAGTCGGGAATTGGGATTTAGCTGGGAGTTTTCAACCCTGGGAGCAGAGGGATTTAGGGAATGGGAATTCTGGGATGGTTTGGGTGGGAATGGATCCGATCCCAGTCCAGTCTTGATCTGTGGGCAGGGAACTTCCCAAAATTCCACGTGGATCCCGTGGGAAATGGAGGAAAAGGGAGGGAATTGTGATGGAAAAAGGGATAACGCGGAATAAATCCAGGCGTTCTGGAGGTGGGAACTGACATAAAACCAGGGGATAAACCCTGGAATTCTCGGGGCTGGAAGGGACCTGAGATCTGTGATAAACAGGGAATAAATCCTGGAATTCTGGGGGTGGGAAGGCACCTCCCACCCCATCACCGCGGGATCCCAAACTCACTCTTTTCCCTCCGGATTCGGAGCGCGTTTTCCGGCCATCCCGGGTGATTTTGGGATTTTTGGGAACTTCCCGTCCCGCAGGAGCGGCTGAGCCAGGTGCTGAGGGACCTGGAAGAGGAGAGGGCCCCCGTGGTGAAGCTGGGGGACGCCAGCATCGCCGCCCCCTTCACCTCCAAACTCTCCTCCATCCAGTGCAGTGAGTGCCCAGCCCGGGAAAAGGGGGAAAAACCCCGGGAATGGGGCGGGAATGGGGTGGGATGTTTTACCCTAAACAATCCTGAGCCCAGTCCAGCTCAGAATTCCCAAACCCTGGAGCTCTTGGGCTCTGGATTACCCTCGGTTTTACCCTAAACCCTGAGTTTTTACCTTGGTTTTACCCTAAACAATCCTGAGCCCATCCCCTCCCCAATTCCTGCCCTTTTTCCCCTCACGGCCGGCCCACACCCCCTCTCCCCTCCCTCCCCGGCCTTTCCCAGGTTCCTAACCCCCAAAATTCCCGTTTTTTTCCCCTCCCAGTCTGCCACGTGATCAAGCAGGGCCGCTGCACGCTGGTGACCACGCTGCAGATGTTCAAGATCCTGGCCCTGAACGCGCTGGTGCTGGCCTACAGCCAGAGCGTGCTCTTCCTGCAGGGCGTCAAGTTCAGCGACCTGCAGGCCACGCTGCAGGGGCTGCTCCTGGCCGGCTGCTTCCTCTTCATCTCCCGCTCCAAGGTGGGAGCCGGGAATTCCGCGGGAGAGGGCGTGGAGAGGGGGGAAAACCCCCAAAAAAACCCCAGGAAAAATCCCCGAAAAAATGCCGTCTGGGGTCGCGGAAAGGCGCGGTCCGGCGGGGGGAGGCTCTGGGGTGATCCCGAGAGTTCCTCCTCATCTCCGGGTCTGAGCTGGGAATTCCTGAATTTATCCCGAATTAGGGGAAAAGGGGCTTCCCCCCCTCCAAAAAATCAGATTTATGGTCAGGACAAAGTGGTTTCTGAAGGTGGGAATAGGGTTTGGAATGGCTCCCAAAGCTCCAGATCCAAATCCACCGTGGGAGCCAAGAATTCTGTGGGATCTGGCAAAATGAGGGAAAAAGGGGCTTTTTTTTTTCCCAAGATCCCATTTATTGTAAGAAATTCCATTATTATTATTATTATTATTATTATCATTATTGTTGTTGTTGTTGTTATTATTCTGAAACTGGAGGGGTGGAATGTTGCATTTGGGATCCTCCCAAAGCCATTTCTCCCCTCAGGATCTCAGTTTTTGGGATGAGCAGTGGGAAAGAGCCATAAAAGGCCCAAATTGAGGCTTTTCCATGGAAATCTGGAATTTTGAGCTGGCTCAGCTGGGAGTAAAGCCCCTAAATCCCAATTTCCCTGGGAACAAAACACCCAAAACCCCCCCCCGGACTCAACATTCCCTCACAATTCCCTGAAAAACTTCAGGATTCGGCCTCCAACCCTGCCGTGCCACATTCCCGGTTTTTATTCCCGTTTTTCCCAGCCCCTCAAGACTCTTTCCAAGGAGAGGCCTCTTCCCAACATCTTCAACCTGTACACGGTGCTGACGGTGCTGCTGCAGTTCCTGGTGCATTTCCTGAGCCTGGTGTTCCTCTACCGGGAAGCTCAGGCCCGCAGCGAGCCCAGGTGAGGCCCCGATCCCGAAAAATTCCCAGGGAATTCCGGGATCGAGGTTTTACCCGAAAAAATTCCAGGGTTTTCCCCCCCGGTTCCTGCTGTCGCAGCATTCCCTGGTCCCATAAAAACCAGTCTGGTGAGCACTTCCCTCCATTTCCTGTGGGAATTGCATCCCAGGGAATTCCCATGGATCAAAAACCCCAAAATCCCCCAGGATTTTATCCATTCCCATAGAACAAAAACACCAAATCCCCCAGGAATTTATCCATTCCCATGGATCAAAAACCCCAAATCCCCCAGGATTTTATCCATTCCCATGGACAGAATAACCCATAAATTCCCATTTTCCCACTCCCAACCCACTTCAGACCCAATTCCACCCCTACAGCCGTGATTTTTTGGGGGTTGATCCCGGGGCTGATCCCGGTTTTCCCGGGCAGGGAGGAGGAGTTTGTGGATCTGAGCCGGGAGTTCGAGCCGTCGCTGGTGAACAGCACCGTGTACCTGCTGGCCATGGCCATGCAGACGGCCACCTTCGCCATCAACTACAAGGTGGGGCTTCCAGAACCTTCCCTTCCCACGCTTCTCCTGTTTTCCCGTTTTTCTCCCCATTTTTCCCAATTTCCGTTCCCCAGTGCCATCAAACCCCTTTTTACTGGTCCAGAGCTTCTGAGTTGGCTCCCAGTGCCCTCCCAGTACAAACCAGTGCCCTCCCAGTACAAACCAGTGCCCTCCCAGTGCCCTCCCAGTGCATCCCAGTGCCCTCCCAGCGTACCCCAGTGTACCCTAGTGCCCTCCCAGCATATCCCAGTGCCCTCCCAGTACAAACCAGTGCCCTCCCAGTGCCCTCAGGGATTTGGGATGGGATCCGTGCCCCCTTCCCACGGAACATTCCGGAATTCCCGGGGATTTGGGGATGTGGGGTGGGATCCGTGCCCCGTTCCCGCGGAACATTCCGGAATTCCCGGGGATGTGGGGTGGGATCCCTGCCCCGTTCCCGCAGAACATTCCGGAATTCCTGGGGATGTGGGGTGGGATCCGTGCCCCGTTCCCACGGAACATTCCGGAAGGGAAATCCCAACATTTCCACGGGATATGGGAATTGTCCCTGCCTGTGGGTTGGGAGGGGATGTGGAGCCCATTCCCACCGGGAACATTCTGGAATTCCCGGGGCTGTGGGGTGGGATCCGTGCCCCGTTCCCACGGAACATTCCGGAATTCCCGGGGATTTGGGGATGTGGGGTGGGATCCGTGCCCCGTCCCCACGGAACATTCCGGAATTCCCGGGGATTTGGGGATGTGGGATCCGTGCCCCGTTCCCACGGAACATTCCGGAATTCCCGGGGATTTGGGGATGTGCTCGGCAGCTTTCCAGAGTTCCCGGAATTCCCCAGAGTTTCTTGGCATTTTCCGAAATTTCCCGAGGATTTTTTTTGGAATTTGGCAATGGGAAAAAAAAAAAAAAATCCTGATCAAGGTCTTTTTTTTTTTTTTTTTTTTTGGAATTGTTTTAGCTGAGGGAAAAAAAATGGGAACGGTGGGAAGTAAAAATATCACGGATTTAGGGGCTGGGGGAGGGGCTGTGGATGCAAAATCCTCAAAAACCGTGAATGAAACCCAAAAACTGGGAATTAAACATAAAAATTCAGGAATTAAACAAAAATTCAGGAATTAAACCCAAACACTGAGGATTAAACAAAAAAAACAAAAAAAAATCCCATTTCTCCCCGTCCAGTTCCCATCCCAGTCCCATTCCCAGTTCCCAATTCCATTCCCAGTTCCCATTTTTCCCATTTTTCCCATTTTTCCCATTCCCATTTTTCCCATTCCAGTCCCATTCCCAGTTCCCATTTTTCCCATTCCCTTTTTCATTTTTCCCATTCCCATCCCCCCATCAACCACCAGCCACTTTTCTTTTGAAATTCCCGAACCGGCGCAATAAGACTCCACAAACCAATAATTAATCAATAATTAACCAATAATTAATCAATAATTAACCGACAATTAACCAATTCCCATCCAGCCGGCCTGGATTTCTGTAAGAACCGTTAAAAAAAAAAAAAAAAAAGGAAAATTTACAGCAGCGCCCCCCCGTGGCCGGCCGGGGGAGCGGGACAGTGCAACAGTGCCGGGGGACACCGGGGGGACACCGGGGGTCCTGGGCCCCGTGGGAAAGTGCCAGAACGGGGGGGGCCAGGGCAGGGACCCCCGGGGTGGGGGAGGGGACGTTGGGGACCCCCGGGGCGCGGGGGGAGGGGCGGTGCCACCGGGGGTCCCCCCCCAATTCCAGCCCCCAAATCCCAGCCCCAAACCGCAGCCCCAAATCCCAGCCCTCAAACCCCAGTCCCCAAATCCCAGCCCCCAGATCCTGGCCCCCAAGCCTCAGATCTCCACCCCCAGCCCTGAATCCACACCCCCGGGGTGTCCCCTCCCCGTCCCTGTGCTGTCCCCTCGCTGTCCCCTCCCTGTCCCCGCTGTCACCGTCGCCGTAGCCGTCGGACAGGTAGGACTGGGCGGGCTCGATGCGCGACACGATCTCAGCCAGGTCCGTGAAACCGGCACTGGGACAGGTGAGCACCTGAGGGGACACCACGGGGGACAGGTGAGCACCTGAGGGGACACCACGGGGGACAGGTGAGGGGACAGGTGAGCACCTGAGGGGACACCACGGGGGACAGGTGAGGGGACAGGTGAGCACCTGCAGGGGACACCTGAGCACCTGCAGGGGACAGAGGGGACAGGACGGGCACACGGAAGGGACCGATGGGGCAAAGGACGGACAGGACAGGGACCAGGGGGACAAAGGGTGACAAGGAGGGTGACAGGAACAGGGTGATAGTAACAGGAAGGTCACCCAGGAGGTGACACCCCTCAAAGGACAGTGACAAGGCTGGGGAGGCCCCTCCCACGGCGAGCCAGGGAAGGTCCCCAATGAGCCACCACCCTCCGTGTCCTGCCATACCCCTCCCGTGTCCCCAGGTGTCCCCACGTGTCCCCGAGCTCACGTCCATGCGTTTGCTCTCGTAGAAGTCGGCCGAGCGCCGGTCCTTGACCATCTTCTCGATGACGTCCCCGCGGCTCCAGCCCTCGAACACCACCTTGCCGTGCTGGTAGCCAACGTCCTGGCGGCCAGGGGACAGTGGGCAGGGGACAGGGGACAGTGGGCAGGGGACAGGGGACAGTGGGCAGGGGACAGTGGCCCGGACACCCCCGAGATGGCCCACGACACCCCAGTGATGACCGGGGTGCTCAATTAATGGTCAAGGACACCTCAGCTGATGACCAGGACACCCAAGTGACAGTCAAGAACATTCAACGGATGGTCAAGGACATCCAGTGATGGCTGGAGAACCCCAACAATGACCAAAGAACCCCAACAATGGCCAAAAAAAACCCAACGATGGCCAAAGAACCCCAACGGTGACCAAAGAACCCCAAAAATGACCAAAGAACCCCAATGATGGCCAAAAAAACCCAACGATGACCGAAGAACCCCAACAATGGCCAAAGAACCCCAACATTAGCCAAAGAATCCCAACAATGACCAAAGAACCCCAAAAATGACCGAAGAATCCCAACGATGACCGAAGAACCCCAACCCACGTCTGGAGCCCCCCAGCCCAACGCCCCCGAGCCACCCCCAGCCCCGACTCACGTAGATCTCATCGAACTTGCCGAAGTCCATGGTCTTGAAGCGGTCGATGGGCGGCCGGATGTACTCGCAGTACGAGCTGGACTTGACCACCTCCAGCTGCCGCACGCAGGACACGTAGGCCAGGCGCGACTGGATCTCCGCCATGTCCGGCACCTGCCGGGACCCGACACTCAGGACGCGCCCAGCACCTCGTCATCCTCATCATCATCGTCATTGTCATTGTTGTTATCATTATTGTCATCCTCATCATCATTGTCGTTGTCATTGTTGTCATTGTCGTTATCATTATTGTCATCCTCATCATCATCGTCGTTGTCATTGTCATTGTCATCATCATCGTCATTCTCATCATCGTCATCATCATCATGATTGTCATCCTCGTCATCATCGTCGTTGTCATCATTGTTGTCATCGTCATCATTGTCATCATCATCGTCATCATCATCATGATTGTCTTCCTCATCATCATCGTCATTGTCATCATTGTTGGCATCGTCATCATTGTCATCATGATTGTCATCCTCATCATCATCATCGTCATCATCACCATCATCATCATCCCCTGATGTCCCCCAGGACCTTCTCCATCCTCCTCCACCCCAAGCCATCTCCACCAGCTTGGCCTCGTCCCCGGGTGTCCCCTGGTGCCACCTCCCGCTGTCCCCCCGGGCCACCCCGCGCTCTCACCTTGACCTTCTCGGCCCAGGGGTTGAGGCGCTTCCAGAGGAGCCACCAGCCCGACAGGGAGTCGCCGTAGTTGCACAGGTCGGTCTCGTCCTGGCTGCCCACGTCGATGGCGATCACCGTCTTGGCGCCCATGTTGCGCGCGATGTCGGCTGCGGGGACAGACGGACAGACGGACGGCGGGCGGTCAGCGGCGTCGGGGGGCACCAGGGGGGCGGGGTGGAGGGTGGAGGTGTCCCCCCCACAGGAGGGGACACGGGAAGGGGGGTGGCATCAGTGGCATCAGGGGACACCAGGGGACAAGCTGGTGGGGGAGGAGGATGGAGAAGGTCCTGGGGGACATCAAGGGATGATGATGGTGATGATGATGAAGGTCATTTCCATAGAGAAGGGGTTGGAGGTGATCCTGGAGGACACCTAGGGATGATGATGATGGTGGAGAAAGGTGGCTTCAGACCCAAGGATGCCACCAGAGTCACCCGACGCGGTGGTGATGAGGCTGCAGGATGGAGGAAGGTCCCCAGCACATGGAGGGGACAAGAGTGACCTCCCAAGGCCACCAGAGGTGACACAGAATGGCCGGAAGATGCCCGGAGGAGCCTGGAGAGGACATCAAGAGATGGAAGGAGGTGAAGGAGGACGGAGAGGACACCTGGAGGTGGGAACGTCCAGAGATGGACGGTGACAGGTAAAGATGGCCCAGGAGGTCACCAAGGACACCCAGGGACGGCGCAGGATGGAGACCGAGGCAAAGGACACCAGCACCAGGAGGTGACAGCAGGAGGTGACACCAGGAGATGGCACCAGGAGATGATAGCAAGAGGTGACACCAGGAGGTGACACCAGATGACACCAGGAGGTGACAGAGGGTGGAGCTGCCGCAAGAGGCCAACCAGCATTGAAGACATCAAGAGATGACGGAAGAAGAATGGAAGATGGATCCTGCACATGAAGAAACCTGGAATATTCTGGAAAAAGTGCCTGGCATGGAAAAAACACCAGGAGATGGTGGAAGATGGATGGGTCCTGACCATGAAAATCCATGGAATGTTCTGGAAAAACCACCAAGCATGGAAAAGGCATCAAGAGATAATGAAGGATGGATGCTACACATGGAATACCATGGAATGTTCTGGAAAACCACCCTGCATGGTGGATCCTGACTATGAAAACCCATGGAACGTTCTGGAAAGCTGCCTGGCATGGAAAAACCACTGGGAGAAGATGGAAGACGGATGGATCCCGACCATGAAAACCCATGGAAAGTTCTGGAAAGCTGCCTGGCATGGAAAAACCACTGGGAGAAGACGGAAGATGGATGGATCCCAACCATGAAAACCCATGGAACGTTCTGGAAAAACCATCCGACACAGGAAAAAACCCACTGCCAGACAACAGCCAGCCATCCCTCGCCCATCAACGCCACCGAGACGCTGCCAAATCGAGCGAGAGGCGTCTCCGCTCCACCCTGGCTGCGTCCATCCATCCGTCCGTCCGTCTGTCCGTGCGCCGGCCGAGCCCCCGCCCCGCGCCCGCGGTGCCGCCGGTGCCGCGGCGGCCGCACTTGCCTGGCAGGTTGTTGATGTACCCCCCGTCCATCAGGAGGTTTCCGTCCTTGGGGTCGCAGAGCGGGGGCAGGTACCCCGAGAGGGTCATGCTGGCGCGCACGTAGCGCCAGAGCGAGCCTGCGCCGGCCGAACCGGGAACGGCACCGGGAACGGGACCGGGAAACCGGGAACGGAACCGGGAAACGCCGTCAGCGCCGGCGCCGCCCCGGCACCCGCCCTCGCCGCTCGCCCTGCCCGCGCCGGGATACGTCTGCGCCCCACGGGTCGGCCCCGTGGCGGGCAGAGGAACCCCGGTGCACCCTGACCGGTGGTGTGGACGCTCTGGACGTGGTTTTGGGGTGGTTTTTGGGGGGTTTTTTGGCGTTTTGTGGTTTTTTTGGGGGGTGGCCCCGGCGAGCGAGGTGCTGACCTGGGACATTGTTAACATAGCAGCCGTCCACCAGCCAGTGGCTGTCCTTGGGGTCGCAGAGCGGAGGCAGGTAGGGGGTATAGGAGGCACTGGCTCGGACGTAGCGCCAGAGGCTGCCTGGGGACGGAGAGGACACGGTCACGGCCACCGGGGACCGCGGGGGGTGACCGGGGAGGGACAGAGGGACGGGGGGGACGTTGGCAGCCAGCGGTGTGGGGAGGGGGCTGGGTTAGAGGGGTCAGCGGGGAT